AATAATAATAATAAATGGATGAATATGAATTCAGAACACGATTTGGCCCTGGAAATGTTTGATAAGGCACGTAAACAAGACCCATATCGTATCGAACAATTGCATTTACACTCAGATTCTCTTTTTGTCAGGGTTCGTTTTTGTCTCATTCATTGACTGCTTGAATGACTGTCCAAATGCTTTTGGGATTCTTGTTTCACCCAATACTTCGAGCATTTCTCTTGGTTATTGAGTTTACTCTGCTCTCGTTTAGTTAGTTTTTGTTCGTCATTTGTCAGAAATTATATAGAAATATTATTTTACATTGAACAAATGAACGACATCTGGGAATAACTTTCAGGGATTACGTTCAGAACTCGCAAATTTAACGCATTCCTTCTACAAGACTCATAAATTCTCTTGGGAAGTGTGTTGTGCAGTAGGTCGGTTTTCTCATATCATTTTCGGTCATACTGTTTTATTTCTTGAATTATTCTCGAACTTTTATTATTTCTTCCCTGACGACGTTGACTCTTTTCGTGAGATTCACTTGAATTTCACAAAAATGATTTGAAAATTTCGACTCAATGTTTGTGATATGTATACCATCGTTGAATAGAAACGTTCTCGACTTGACTGATATTATTTTGTTTATTAATTTTCAGCAAATTACTACAGTCTTCGAGGCGATCATGAAAAATCAGTTGTTTTCCTGGTGAGGTCGTTGAAACTCAACCCGAACAACTCATCAGTGTGGACATTGATTGGGCATGAGTTCATGGAGCAGAAGAACAATTCTGCAGCGTGTCTTTCGTATAGAAAAGCGATACGTACGTTTTGTTATAGATTTTCTTTCGGATTTATTTAATTGATTCACCGAGCACCTGCAATCTGTCTATATTTTTAATGAATTGGAGAGGCGAGCACTTTTTCTTTATTTTCTAAATCCAATTTACCCATTTCAGAATCGGATCCGAAGGATTATCGAGGTTGGTATGGATTGGGGCAGTTGTATGATATTTTAAAGATGCCTTCCTATTCACTCTATTACTATCAACAAGCGCACAAGTGCAAGTAAGCAGTTGAAAATGTTTTTTTTTTTCAAATTTAATTGTTCAATCGTTCGTTTTATCGACTCATAAATTGTCATATGAATTTAATTGCTTCTTCATTTATTCATTCACTTTTGATGGTGTTATCCGGTCGTTTATTTATGAGCATGTTGTTCGGTTGAGCTCTTCGTTTGCGATCAGACTGGAGCAAAATTTCCCATTCAAGTTTTTTGATTAAGCACTACAGAATCGTCAGTTTTCGCAGTGAATGATTTTTGTGAATTGATAGCTTCTAAGCATGTGTAGATGTGTGAAGTAAGAGGTGAACGATGAANTGGCATTTTAACAGTTTGCTCTTGTTATTAGGTCGGATGATTCGCGAATGTTAGTTGCCTTGGGTGAAGTGTACACACGACTGCATCATACCAGTGATGCACAGAAGTGTTTACTGAAGGCATTCAAAGTGGGTGATGTCGAGGGGACAGCGCTGATGCTACTGGGAAGGTTCGTTTTCATCTGATATATCTATCTCATTGATCCATTTCAGTTTTGTTCACAGATCACTCTGTCTTCAGTTATATTTTATGCTCTGTTTGTTGTAAGTTAATCTTCATTATCAATGAAAGTCTTTGAATTGGGTTTCATTCATTCGACTTTTGTGGTCAAATGTTTGAATCATTTAATTTGTAAATTTCTTTGCAAATTTGAACCATTAAATGTAAATTTGCAAATCGAATAGATTTCTTCGAATTCAATGTGAAAATTCTGTGAAATGTACTGAAGTTTTCATTGCAATCTATAGATTATACGAGAAAGGAAAAGATAATGATCAAGCTTCGATTGTGTACGAAAAATATTTGGAAACTTATTGCGACGATTTGGTTAGTTTTTGTTTTATTTCTGTGTTCTTTTTGAAGAATTCAGCAAGAGAGGGTGAAAATTAAATAGTCTCTAGTGCAAGCATCAAGTCCGAAAAATCAGAGAGGGTTGCCTCACGAAGGGTATCGGATGAGAAAATGGCAGTGGTCAGCGCATGAGAGTCACAATAAATTCCATATTGGATGAGTATAGAATTTTTTTGCTCGCCACAGTGACTGCCAAATTAGAAATTTTGGATGGAAACGAAGATAATCTGTTTGATAAAGGAAGATATGTTCAGTTCAATTTCAATACAAGATTATTTGAATACAGATGAGCGATTTGGATAATATGGCACATTGCTGTTGTTTCTTAGCGAAATATTTTCTATCGAAGAACGATCTGAATGCGGCTGGTTCATACGCACAACGTTGTCTGCAATATGAATCGGTTATTTGCTTCTGCTTTTATTATTCTGATGTTCATATGAATGAGTACGTGTAGATGTGATAATCTTTTGATGTGTATGCATGCATACAAATGTGATTTATTGGTTTGTTCATATTGTGCAGTATAAGGTAACGTTGTTCTAGTCGAAAGAAGAAGGGCGACGTGTATTACGGCAAATCAATCAGGCACTCAATCGTCTCGCCAACAGCAAAGATCATCCAGCAGCACCGTCGCAAACGATCGCTGTCGTCACCTCGACGCCTGCAGATCAGAATACGAATGCCGATTACGGTATGCAGGTGAACGATGCCACACCAATCACACCCATACTATCGCAACAATTGAATGTTAGGTAGGATTTTGTTTTGTCGAACAATCGAATTTGTTTTCAGAATGGCGATATCCGTTTTAGTGAATTTCATCCTGTACTCATCTGAATACTCTGTACAAAAACGAAATTCATCACTGAACTTCATCATTCACTGATCATTCGCAATCAATCTGTATATTTTCATCAGTTTTGAAACATAATTGGGTTTTTCCACCTGTTTCGCAAAATGATTTGAAAATTAGCGTTCGATTCATAGATGGGATGGAAATACAGTAGTAGTGAGGTGAAGAAACAGATAAAAATAACTGTTTATCGAGAATCATTACGAGGCGTTGGAAACAAATTTGAATTCGACCAAAGAAAATTGTTTTATTCTATTTGCAGTAGTCCGATGGTATACAGGACAGTGGGTGGCGAAGAGGGTGAAACTGAAATGGCAATATCGTCGGATGAAGAGGAGGATTCTGAGGGATATTAACGACTCATGAAGCTGAACGTCAAGAACTGAACTTCGTTTGAGGAGGGCAACTTCATAATGCTCAAAGAAAGAAGAAACGTTGGACCGAATGGCTGATGCATTATCTAACTGATAGATCCATTTGCAACGCGATTCCGATCGCTTTATTGCTGTTACCGTTCACTTAATTGGTGGTAATGTTGTGTATTCGTCTCACAGCAAGTGCTCTTACATAATGCATTGTGTAGATTGTAGTTTATGAAGTAGATTGTTATCTTCGTTATTTATCATATCACTGGTATTTTAGTTCATTGTTTCAAAAATATTTCACCACGTTATTAGGGAAACACAGCAATCAATCCGAACAGTTTTTTCACCTATTTGCCATCGACAATAATTTCTCGGAAAATATTTCGAATTAAAATTCCATTATTTATTTGTCATTATTTTGTGTTGTTGTGTAATTTGTTGTATTGATTGTTATTCGTTTCAGTTTGTTTTTTTTTTGTTTTTTTTTGAAAATTTCATTTTGTTATCACAGTTTTCATTGTTGATGATCTCATTTTCTCTTTTTTGTTGTTTTTATTTCGCTCAAATGACTGAACGAATACATTTTGCAATAACAATATTTGCATTATTCAAGCAGTGCAGTACGAACGGATTGACGTCAAACACTTTGAGTAGTTTTGTAAACGTTATCATAAACGCATACTAAAGTTTTTATAATAGATCATCAAGTACCTACTGAATGCATTTACCACATACCAGATTGCTTTAGTCGTACGTCAAAGAACACTTTGGCTCATCATTTCTTCTCTATTTGAACTTTCATTTAAAGCTGTTAATTAAATTCATAAAGAACGATGTCTCACAGCAGTGAAATACGATCAATTTTAAAATTCAGTTTCTTTGAATTGATTCTTAGAACACGAATAATATTATGACAGGTGAATTTCAAAGAATAATAGAGACGATTCGGCAGTCATTGGCACTTGATAATTCAGTTGATGGATTTGTCAGTATAATATTTACATTGTAATGGTCACCAAATAGTATACAATGAGTTTAGTGCAGGAAGCAAGACGGGAAATAAATCATGTCAACCTGGCTTCGAATTATGATAGCTAATTATGATCGATGTGTAATTTTTTGGTCGACATGTAATTTTTCGAACTGCTGGGTGTTTACTGAAAATCGGAGGTTGCTTACCCACTGGAAAACAAGTGACCGCAAAATCTAAGTGAAGTATTCTCTTCACTGAGAAGTTGCCATTTGCAACTGGCAATGCTCTGGTGAGTACTCGGCTGCTGGCTTCGAACCAGCTGACACGGCTGTTCCGTACAGATAGTTCCACATTTCAAGTCAGCTGTAGCGAACAAACGTGATTGTGAGCGAGCGAGTTTTCGATTTCACTTTCATTTGTTCGCCAGGAGTGTTTTCTCGTTCTCCTCAAGTCTCCTCGAAAAATTTTCATATCGCTGCGAAAAAAGTTAACGTAAAATAAAAGTGGAAGTTGATTGTTTTTATCAGTTTTATTGATCTGATTACGTGTACAACTGAAGTATAGTTTTGTTCGGTGTACCGTAATAGAAAACACATAAAAACATTTGTGCACACACAATTGACAAGTGTATATTGGTATCGATGAAAATATTCTTTGCACTTGCATAACACTGTTGAAATATATAAGTAATCGTGTAGAGGTGTTATCATTTGTTTATTGCTTCACAGATGTGTGCTGCTCGTTTAGCGGTGTTGGGCCAGCCTCTGCAGCTTGCTAGAGCTTGTTTTACTGCGTCTGGCAAAAAGTTATTGTTACAGAATTTAAG